AGATTAGCCACTATATTTGGTCAGGCTAATTAGGTGAGGCTTGTGATGTTAGCTAGTATTGATTTCTCAGACTTATATGGCCCACGGGCCGGTTGTTCCCCACTCCTGGTCTAAAGTGAAGGTACCATTAATGAGGTTCATTTAACCTCTTTAATAATCCTTTGTGCCTCAGCCCTCCACTGACCCGGAGGAATCGCTTAGTTGTGCAAGTGGCACTTAGCATGAGAGACTACTGATGTTTGACCTTGAAGAGCACATAAGATATTAAATCCATTAAAAATTTAGTAATCGCACTATACATGTTCTATATGGCCATTCTTTTTACCTTTCCGTGTAGTAAACATGAACTTTCTCAGGCCAAACAATTACTCTATTTTCTTCATTTAAAAACTGTGACATACATCACTCATACAGAAAAGGGACTGAGACACACTTGTACAGTTTATTTAAAGACTAATTATGGAAAACACCCAGATCCAGAAACGAACACTGTAGGCACTTCAGAAGGCCCTAGGCACGCCTTCCTGACTGCATCCCATTGTTTTCGCACTGCTTTTACTACCTGTGCATGTACCCTGAACAACATATTTGAGCTTTGCCAGTTTTTGAACCTGATGTAAGTGGAAACACATAGTATCTGTTCTTTGATTGACTTGCTGCTTTTACTCGATATTGAGATTTATCATGTTCTGGGAAATGGCTGTCATTTACTCCTCTTTACTGCTGTCATGGTTCACAGTATGACCTTTCTATCGTTGATGTTCTGGTTGTATGCTCTTCTTAGTTATTATAAAGATGCACATGTATGAGAGATTCTGCAGAATTGCTGAGTCATAGTATCTTCAACTTTACTAGATAATGCCATGCCGTTTTCCAAAGAGATTGTATCCGTTTATACTACTATCTCTGTATGTACTATCTCTACTATTTCCTTCATCCTTGTTAAAACTGGTTACTGCTAGACTTTTTCATCTTTGGTCCATTGGATGTCTAACAGTATGTCGTTTTTATGCTCCTTTCTCTGTTACTAGTGAAGATAGGCCTATTTTTATATTGGCCAATTGTATTTCTTCTTTGGTGCTGTGACTATTTTTAAAAATAGGTGGACTATTTCTTATTGATTTGTAGGTAGGTATTCTTCATATATTGTGGGTACTAATTCTTCCTTCAGTATAGTTTTGAAAACTTCTCCCACATTGTGGTTTTGTCTTTTCCACTTAATTTTAAGATAATTGAATTACTGATATTTTCCTATATGGCAAAAAAAAAAAAAAAAAAAATTCTTCTGTATCGAAAAGCCATAAAAGACATTTCATCCAGGTCCACATAATTTATCTGATTTCCTTGGGGCCTCGCATCATTGTCAGTTTTTGCCAAGTGAGTTCCAAAGATTTTGGTGTTTCAGAGGTTTGGGGATTTTATAATAAGAACAAAAGTTATAGTAGCCTCATACAATAAGAACAGAATTACTTCAAAGTTCAGAAATTACTGGTGGAGTCACAAACCAGGTACTTGTGTGTAAAGATTCTTTACTACTGATTCAAATTACTTAATGATTTAGGACTATTCATACTTTCTACCTTAATCGGCTAGTTTTTTGTTTTTCTTGATATTTGTACGGTCATCTAAATTTTATTTGCATTAAATTGTTTACAAGGTGTTCTTTTTTGATGTGTATAGTTTACATTACTGACAGAGGTTAACATTTCTTTTATTGCTCAATATTATCACATATTTGTAAATTTTATTAGCCCTTTTCCCAAAAAAATCAACTTTGAGATTTTTTCTTTTTGTTTTTGGTATCTACTATTTGCAGTGCTGTGGTGGGAAGTTGGCTCTGAACCTAACACAAAACACTAGGTAGCTTGCTGATTTCCATAGGATGAATACTCCCATCACGAGCAATTTCAAGCTACCCATTTGATGTTATTGACCACGGGCTTGGGAAAAGGTGTGCCCAAGTGGCTCTCCTGAGCAAGTACAGGCTGTCCCTGGCACACCACTACTTTTGTTTCCATTTTATTCACTTCTGCTCTTAACATTATTTCCCTCCTTCTTACTTCTTGAAAAGGAATATGTTTAGCTAAAGACCCTTCAGCCTCTTTTATACTGTACTTACTTAGGCTATGAATTTCCCTCTAAGTATTGCTTTATTTCTTCCTCAGGTATTGCTATTGTATTTTACCATTCAGCCCAAAATATTTTCTGTTTCTTTGACTATAGGTTATCTGGACTTGTTATTTTAGTTCTTTATTGATATTCTGCTTAATTGCATTGTGGTAAAAAGGAATGTGCTGAGTGACTTTCATCTTTAAAACTTGTTGAGAATTGCTCTACAGCTAAGTATGTGGTCAATTTTGATAATGTTGTTTGTTTTAAAAAAGACGTACATTCTGAATTTGGTTATATTTTTCTGTGTATGTTCATTGGGCCAAGTTTGTAAATCTTGTTCTTCAAACTTCATATATATATCTATATATATAGAGATATAGGTATATATAGATATAGATATATCCCTATTGATTTTTGTTTTGCTTAACAACACTGAAAAAGTTTTGTTAAAATCACCCAGTATGATCATATATTTTTTCTTTGTAATTCTGCCAAATGTCTTCATCACTAAATACATAAACTTAAAATTTAATTAAAAAAAATATTTTTACTCAGAAGTCATCTAAGACACTTTTGTTTAATCCTTTTTCTATCTCATCAGTCACACTAAAAAATATTGTCTTTAAACCGCCCTTGGTGGATACAGTGTAAAAGAAATGGAGCCCTGGCCAGTTTGGCTCAGCGGTTAGAGCGTCCACCTGCGGTCTGGAGAGACCCGGGTTCGGTTCCCGCTAAGGGCACGTACTTCGGTTGCAGTTTGTCCCCGGCCCTGGTTGGTCATGCGGGTGGCAGCCACTCGATGTGTCCCTTCACATCGATGTTTCTCTCTCTCTCTCCCTTCCTCTCTCTCCCTCCCACTCTGTCTGTACAAAAAATGAAAGGATATCCTCGGGTGAGGATTAAAAAAGAAAAGAAAAGGAGGACTCTGGTAGAGACAAAGCAATGCACTATTAGAGTCATTAACTATTATAGAAGTAATTGGAGGAGCTATCTTTGGTGGAACTTAGATCTTCACAGTCCATTCTGAAAATCTGCATATGTTGAATTTGGAAAGGATCAAACACCAGCACGGGTGCAGAGCTGTACACTGCTTATGAGTTTTGAGTTTTAGAAACACAAAGAATTTCAATAAAACTAGATGATGGGGCAGAGAGAATCTGTTGAGATACAAACACCAGACAACTGACTTATCTTTATCCATAAACGTACTTCTAAAATAAGGATTCTGTTGGGCAGAGATAGTAACTTTTATATATTAAAAATAGCATCCTTTCAAAATAACCAGAGCAGCTATTTTCATTCCTTTTTAAAATTCTTTGGCGTTTGGGAAGTAAAAAAGCCACAAGTAGAGTAAAACAATATTTATTTCCCCCACTCTCCCGATGAATTTGTACCATGTTTCGCAAATTCCAGAGCCAAGTCCACATACCTTCACTGTCAACTCTAATCCTAATTGGCTCACATTGCAGCCCCACAGCGATCAGGTGTCAGCCAACTGAAGGTTGCTGTCTATTCTTTCACTGGATGTCTCCGAACACCAACCCCAAGTCCTCTCCAGCCACAGCGAAGCTGCAAAGCTTCAACGTAACTGACCAGGAAGAAATCCCAACCAGGGGCTGGGAGCTTGGTGCCCTGGGCTCTCAGTTGGGCCCCTCATTTGCCTTGGGTCCCGAGTTGTCACCTGCCTCTATCCTGGGCCCTCTTGTGATTTTTTTTTTTTAATCCAAGAATCCAGGAGTTCAGCCTACACGGTGGTCGACGCCGGTGCGGCTCTCTCCACCTCCTCCTTTCCTCCCGCCCGGTGCGGCTCTCCCCCCCCGACCCCCGCCCGGTGCGGCTCTCTCCCCGCCCCCCGCCGGTGCGGCTCTCCCCCTCCCCCCGCCGGTGCCGCTCTCCCCCTCCCCCGCCCGGTGCCGCTCCCCCCCTCCCCCGCCCGGTGCCGCTCCCCCCTTCCCCCGCCCGGTGCCGCTCTCCCCCTCCCCCCGCCCGGTGCGGCTCTCCCCCCCCCACCCCCGCCCGGTGCGGCTCTCCCCCTCCCCCGCCCGGTGCGGCTCTCTCCCCGCCCCCCGCCCGGTGCGGCTCTCCCCCTCCCCCGCCCGGTGCGGCTCTCCCCCTCCCCCCGCCCGGTGCGGCTCTCCTCCCGCCGGGGTAACTCTCCTCCCGCAGGTGCGGCCGCCGGTCCGCAGGCCTCTCACGTAAACGAACCTTCGGGGCGATGCTGGGCTGAGAGCGTCACGGTCGTGGAAACCTGCGCGGGGAGGAGCCGGACTCCCGGCCGAGGCCGAAGCCGCTCGGAGGAGCCCGCCCCACCTCCGCACCCGCGGGCACCGCCTCCCTGGCCGAGGAGGGCGGAAGTCCCGCCGCAGGTGAGCGAGCGGAGCCGGAAGTCCCGCCCCTGGCCGTCCACGGCAGCCCGGGAGGGTCAGTGCAAGGCCGCCGGGCCCCGTGGGACGTGTGGCCGCCGGCGGCGAGGTCTCGGCGCGCCTTGCCCCAGCCCGCGGGCGACGCGACCCCGCGGGGCGCCAGGACTCGGCCCCGCGCTGCCTGACCGGGGCCGGCGGGACCGCGGGGCCGAGAGGTGCGTTCGCTCCGGCGGCGGGGCGCGCGGGTGCGGACGGGGTCCCGGTGGGCACGACGGGAGGGGCCTGGCGCTGCTCGCCGGGTCGGCCGGTGCCCGAATGGGAGCGGGCTGGTGCGAGCAGCACCTGGTCAGAGGGCGCCGCCGCCCCCGCGTGCACGGGGAGACCCTGTGATGGTGGCCGCGGGCGCCGTGGACTCCGCACGACGGGCGGGGAGCGTCGGGAGCCGCGCTCCGGGGCCGGGGGTGTGGGCCGATTACTTTCGGCTGCACCTTGAACGTCTCGAGGGGGGACTTTGAAAAGCCGGGGTTGCGGGAACCACAGCGTTTTTCCCTGCTTCTCTTCATGTCAGACGCACCTTGGCCGACAGGTCGCGCCCACGAGGATGGCAGCCCCGTCTCGGAAGGAGAGGCAGGCCTGCTGGGGAGCCCGCGACGCCTACTGGAAGTGCCTGGACGAGAACACGGAAGACACCGCTCGGTGCTCGAAGCTAAGGCGCTCGTTCGAATCCACCTGTCCCCCGCAGTGGGTGAGCCGCGTGGACCTGTGCCTCCGGGTTGGCATCGCAGAGGGTGCGGGGTGGGTGCAGGCTGTGAGCCGAACCGCCGTCGGGCGGGCCGCGTCTACGCGACGGTGAGCAGCAGAGAAGCCTGTCTCATCACGCAGGCACCTTATGGGCCTATATCACGCTGACCTTTGGAAAACGTCACCTGACACTTTAAGGATCATTGAAAAGCCAAACAAATACATGAATATAGCCAAACAAATCCAACCCACTAGATTGGTAGACTTCTCCAGGATCTGCCTAAATGACAGTATTTAATCTTTGCCAAGAGTAGGCAATTCATCGGCCTAGAGCTACTCTCACAAATAAAGGATCCCAGTTGCCCACCCAAAATCACATAGTCGTATACCCCCAATATAATGAAGAGTGTAGTAAGTAAAAGAAAATGTTCATATGGTAGATTTTGCCACCAGCTGCCCAAGTGCCTTCCTGACAGGTGTTCCGCTCTGCATGGCCGGGCCTTGGTATGGGAGGGGCTGGAAAAGGGAACTAAGGTCATTGAGCTTATTAGTACGTGATCCTGTGTGTGTGACACCCCTTCATCACTGTGAAGTGGTGGCACGGCCGGGAGTCACTGCCTTAGTCACCCTTTAAGATGAGTGCTGTTGCTGTCAACGTCCAGAAGAGGCCACTGCAGCGCGGAGCATGGGGTCAGATGCTGGGTGCTGGTCACTGAATAGCAGAGCTGTCATTCTTGGTCAGGCCCAGCTGGCTGATGTGGGGGTGCGGTGAGCGCCTCGGTCGCAGACCCTGGGGGTGCGGTGAGCGCCTCGGTCAGACACTGGGGGTGCGGTGAGCGCCTCGGTCAGACCCTGGGGGTGCAGTGAGCGCCTCGGTCGCAGACCCTGGGGGTGCGGTGAGCGCCTCGGTCGCAGACCCTGGGGGTGCGGTGAGCGCCTCAGTCAGACCCTGGGGGTGCGGTGAACGCCTCGGTCGCAGACCCTGCGGGTGCGGTGAGCGCCTCGGTCACAGACCCTGGGGGTGCGGTGAGCACCTCGGTCAGACCCTGGGGGTGCGGTGAGCGCCTTGGTCGCAGACCCTGGGGGTGTGGTGAGCACCTCGGTCAGACACTGGGGTGAGAGCTGTCGTGTACGTCTGCCCAGCTGGTGGGCTAGTTGCAGACGAGCCCCTCTCCTGTTCAGTCCTCAGAGCTCAGGAGCAGCTGGGGTCAGACCTGTCATTCCAGTGTCGCCGGACCGAGTCCAGCAGAGTTCTCCATGAGCAGAGCAACTAGACCTCCAGGATATCTGGTCCCAGTATCGATTTCGGATGTCTTTTTCCTGTAAAACTTAAAAAAGTCTCAGATTCCAAATGCTGGCATGCGCACTGCTACCCCGCATCCCGTTTGGTGGGTTGCAGGCCACCTGCGTGATATGTACACAGCACCTCTCAGGAAACGCAGTCGATTCCTTAGCCTTTCCGAGAAGGTGCGTGTGGTGGCCCTCGACTAGCTGACAGGGAGGTGAGGGCTGGGAGCAGGCCTTCCAGGCGGAGAGGGGTAGATGCACAGGCATTGGGCAAATGCAAAGGAAGTGAGCTCGTTCAGGAAATGGCGTAGCTGTGGTGGGGGCTGGTGGTGCATTCAGAGGATGGACAGGTGGACAGAGATGAAGCCATGAAGGGCCTTGGTCTTACTGAGGAGTTTGGATGTTGACCTTGAAGGCAATAGGGATACCTTGAAGGATCTCTGAAAGACCTTTAAACAAGAAAGTGACAGGGTCAGATTTGGGTTTCAGAAAGACTACTTGGTAGCAGTGTGACAGATGAACCAAGGAAGGAGAAGATAGTGGGTCAAGAGCTGTAGCACAGCCCCAGTGAGAGTGCGGCTGTCCCATGGAGCCCGGAGGGAAGGAGAGGGGGAGGCCGGTGGGAAGGGGGCAGCCACTGGGGCAGGTCCTGGGGAGAAGCACGTGTGGAGAGGAGCTGCGTTCTGGACGAGTCGGGACAGAGATGTCAAAGAACCTCTACTGGGATCGTCCACTAGGCTGCTGGAGAAGAGACAGGCAATGCAAAGACCTGTTGATTGCCACAGAGACGCTAAGGACATTGTCCACTCCTCCTGTGGCGTCTCTCATGTGACAGTCTAGCCAGCCTGAGACCACCAAAAGTAAAGGTACAGTCTGACAGATGTATCAACACGCTGTAACCAGGGAGACTGCACACCAGAGAACTGTGGGCATCTCCTCAACCAAAGGGAAGGCATTACCATAGGATGTGGGGGAAGGGGGTGGTTTATGACATGGAAACCAAGTGGTGCTTTAAGAGGCTGAGGGCAAAACAGGGCTTAGCATAGACAGGCCGTCAGCTCTGGGCTGAGAAGTGGACTTCGGACCCTGTTTTCCACAAGGGGAGAAGCTGCACGCCGTGTTCGGAAACTCCTTATCTGAGGCCTGCTGCTGGGCTGCTCTGTGTCAGCCACTCAGGTCCTCCTGCAGAGCGGGGTCTCTCATCCCTACTGCACAGCCTCAAGGAGCAGGGTTCTGATGTCTCTGATGTTCGAGACAAGGCTTCTTGGTAATAAGAAAGCAGTCGTCACCCAGAGGAGTCTCTCAGGAGACCCTCGGCCGCGTGTGCTGGGAGACTCGTTCCCTGGGCGCCTCCGCTTGGCCCGTCCCAGATTGAGCCGGGCTGGGCGGGCGCCTACACCCTCAGCCTAAGCTCACTCTCCCTGCCTCCGGCGCCGGGTGCTTACGAAGTGAATCCTGAGAAAGGCTTCTAACGAAAGAACTGGGGGTGTCTCTTCTGATGGTGGAAACATGACCCTGTGCCCTGGGCTGCAGAGCACCTTAGACCCACAGCTCTGGTCCCCTTGGTCTCCTGCCCCCGGAATGCACCGCTTCAGGGCATGGACTTCAAGAGACTTGGAATTCTTTTCTTTAATTCATCTGTTGCCCCCCACTTCGTCCCACCCCCCGCCCCTCAGTTTGTTCTGTGTGTCTGTGGGTCTGTTTGGAATTCTTTTCTTTAATTCATCTGTTGCTCCCCACTTCGCCCCACCCCCCGCCCCTCAGTTTGTTCTGTGTGTCTGTGGGTCTGTTTCTATTTTGCTGTTCATGCATGTTTTGCTTTTTCAGACTCAACGTATAAGTAAAACCAAACAGTATTTCTCTTTCTCTGACTTATTTCACTTCACATAATGTACTCTGGGACCATCCATGTTGTTGGAAATGTTAAGATTTCAGTCTTTCTTATTGCTGAGTAATATTCCATTGTGTGTATAGACTTCCTCTTCATTATCCAATAGTCTGTTGACACCTAGGTTGCTTCCATATCTTAGCTGTTATAAATAATGCTCAATGAACATAGGAGTGCATGTATCTTTTCAAGTTAGGGGTTTTATTTTTTTTTTATATCCTCACCCAAGAACATTTTTGTATTTATCCTCAGATAGAGTGGGAAGGAGAGAGGGAGGAAGAGAGAGAGAGAAACATTGACGTGAGAGAGACACATCGACTGGCTGCCATCCACATGACCCCAACCGGGGCCGGCGCCAAACCGCAACCGAGGTTCATGCCCTTAGCGGGAACCGAACCTGGGACTCTCTGGTCTAAGGGCCAAGGCTCTAACCACTGAGCAAAACCAGACAGGGCTAAAATTATGTTTTATATTTTTGTGGTGTTGGTTGTAACTTCTTTATTTATGATTTTATTTGGGCTCTCTCTTTATTTTCTTGATGAGTTTGACTAAAACCTTGTCAGTTTAGTTTATCTTTTCAAAGAACCAGCTCTCAGTTTCATTGATCTTTTCTATTTTATTTCTGCTCTGATCTTATTTCCTTTCTTCTGTTTACTTTGGGTTTTGTTATTTTTCTGGTTCCTTTAGTTGTAAACTTGGATTGCTTGTGAATTTTCTTGTGTCTTGAGGTGGCCTGCATAGCTATAAATGTCTCTCTTACAACTGCACTGTTGTATCCATAAATTTTGAAAATTTGTTTTCATTTGTCTCAAGGTAATTATTTGATTTCCTGTTTGATTTTTATTACATATAAGAAGGGTCATGGCTTATTCAAGTGCTCAACAGGGTCTGTAACTCAAAAAGGGGCATGGCTTATTAGTCTCTACCCTCTCCCAAGACTTTCCTACATCAAATGCACTGGTTTGAAATGGTTCAAGAATATAAATGACTCAGAAAACTTACATAATTTATATTTAATAACTTGTTACATTTAAATCTGTGCTTTTGTTCATCTAAGCTGCATATTTGCCTTATTTCAAACTCTTTTTTTCTCAACAGATAAAATATTTTGACAAAAGAAGAGACTACTTAAAATTTAAAGAAAAATTTGAAGCAGGACAATTCCAGCCTACAGAGAAAACTGCAAAGTCGTAGGCGGTCCCTCGCCGGTCAGAATGTAGGAGCATTTTTTCTGGACGTTCGAAAGTACCCCGTTGACTGGGGAGCAATAGTAGTTCGAGTCATGGTGAACATCAGTACTTCTGTATAGTTTAATCATTTAAACGATAAGTAATAGGAGGATCCATCAGTCAGACAATGTGGAACTGAAATAAAATGGTATGAAATATGCTTAGTTTTAATGTAGTGAGAAATCTATATTTTTAAAAATTACAGCCTATTATAAAAACACATGCACCTATTTTTTGTTTGTTTGGAGGATGATAGTAGGTAAGTATTATTATAGATAAGTAGGTTGTCATGATGTGTACTAGGAGTTACCATTTTAATACAGGCACACACACAAAAATGATGATTAGAAGAATTTCAGCTATACAGATAAAATGACAGAGACCGTCTATAAACAGCTTAGCTAATATCATACTTAATGATGGCACAATGAATGTTTTTCCCCAACATCAGTAACAAGGTAAGGATGTCCTCTCACTTCTGTTCACCACTGTACTGGAGTCCTACCTTCTTCACTAAGGGAAAGAAAGAAAGAAAGAAAAAGTCCTAGTAAGTGTAGGAGATGTAAATTGGAAAGGAAAAAATAAAACTGACTCTGTTCACAGATGATATTATTATCTCTGTAGAAAATTCCAAAAAATCAACAAAACAACTAGAACCAGTAAGTGAATCTTAGAAAAGTGGCAGGAAGCAAGGTCATTTTACAAAGAAAATCATGTTCTTGTGTATCAGCAATGAACAGTTGGAATTTAAAAGAAAAAATATACCATTTACAATTAACACTAAAAAACTTTAAAGGGACTTTAGTATAAATCTTACAGTATGTGCCATACCTACAACACAGACACTTGAAATCAGAAAATCTAATTCATTGGCAAGATACACTGTGTTCATGGCTGAGGTGACCCTGAGGTGAGAAGATATTGTTAAACTCTCCCCAGTTTGTTCTGTGGGTTCAACACAATTCCAGGCAAACCCAGCAAGCTCTTGTAGACATGGACTAGTGACAAGGGGATTCTACAGCAAGCTCTTGTAGACATGGACTAGTGACAAGAGGATTCTACAGCAAGCTCTTGTAGACATGGACTAGTGACAAGGGGATTCTACAACAAGCTCTTTGTAGACATGGACTAGTAACAAGGGATTCTATAGCAAGCTCTTTATAGACATGGACTAGTGACAAGGGGATTCTACAGCAAGCTCTTGTAGACATGGACTGTACAAGGGTATTCTATACAAGCTCTTTGTAGACATGGACTAGTGACAAGGGGATTCTACATCAAGCTCTTGTAGACATGGACTAGTGACAAGGGGATTCTAACAGCAAGCTCTTGTAGACATGGACTAGTGACAAGGGGATTCTACAGCAAGCTCTTGTAGACATGACTAGTGACAAGGGGATTCTACAGCAAGCTCTTGTAGACATGGACTAGTGCAAGGGGATTCTACAGCAAGCTCTTGTAGACATGGACCTAGTTGACAAGGGGATTCTACAAGCAAGCTCTTGTAGACATGGACTAGTGACAAGGGGATTCTACGAAAGCTCTTTGTAGACATGGACTAGTGACAAGGGGATTCTTACACAAGCTCGTGTAGACATGGACTATGACAAGGGGATTCTACAGCAACTCTTGTAGACATGGACTAGTGACAAGGGATTCTACAGCAAGCTCTTTGTAGACATGGACTAGTGACAAGGGGATTCTACAGCAAGCTCTTGTAGACATGGACTAGTGACAAGGGGATTCTACAGCAAGCTCTTTGTAGACATGGACTAGTAACAAGGGGATTCTACAGCAAGCTCTTTGTAGACATGGACTAGTGACAAGGGGATTCTACAGCAAGCTCTTTGTAGACATGGACTAGTGACAAGGGGATTCTACAGCAAGCTCTTGTAGACATGGACTAGTGACAAGGGGATTCTACAGCAAGCTCTTGTAGACATGGACTAGTGACAAGGGATTCTACAGCAAGCTCTTTGTAGACATGGACTAGTGACAAGGGGATTCTACAGCAAGCTCTTGTAGACATGGACTAGTGACAAGGGGATTCTACAGCAAGCTCTTGTAGACATGGACTAGTGACAAGGGGATTCTATAACAAGCTCTTGTAGACATGGACTAGTGACAAGGGGATTCTATACAGCAAGCTCTTGTAGACATGGACTAGTGACAAGGGGATTCTACAGCAAGCTCTTGTAGACATGGACTAGTGACAAGGGGATTCTACAGCAAGCTCTTGTAGACATGGACTAGTGACAAGGGGATTCTATAACAAGCTCTTTATAGACATGGACTAGTAACAAGGGGATTCTACAGCAAGCTCTTGTAGACATGGACTAGTGACAAGGGGATTCTATAACAAGCTCTTTGTAGACATGGACTAGTGACAAGGGGATTCTACAGCAAGCTCTTGTAGACATGGACTAGTGACAAGGGGATTCTACAAGCAAGCTTTTATAGACATGGACTAGTGACAAGGGGATTCTACAGCAAGCTCTTGTAGACATGGACTAGTGACAAGGGGATTCTATAGCAAGCTCTTTGTAGACATGGACTAGTGACAAGGGGATTCTACAGCAAGCTCTTGTAGACATGGACTAGTGACAAGGGGATTCTACAGCAAGCTCTTTGTAGACATGGACTAGTGACAAGGGGATTCTACAGCAAGCTCTTGTAGACATGGACTAGTGACAAGAGGATTCTACAGCAAGCTCTTGTAGACATGGACTAGTGACAAGGGGATTCTACAGCAAGCTCTTTGTAGACATGGACTAGTGACAAGGGGATTCTACAGCAAGCTCTTGTAGACATGGACTAGTGACAAGGGGATTCTATAACAAGCTCTTTGTAGACATGGACTAGTGACAAGGGGATTCTACAGCAAGCTCTTGTAGACATGGACTAGTGACAAGGGGATTCTACAGCAAGCTCTTGTAGACATGGACTAGTAACAAGGGGATTCTATAACAAGCTCTTTATAGACATGGACTAGTAACAAGGGGATTCTACAGCAAGCTCTTGTAGACATGGACTAGTGACAAGGGGATTCTATAACAAGCTCTTTATAGACATGGACTAGTAACAAGGGGATTCTCAGCAAGCTCTTGTAGACATGGACTAGTGACAAGGGGATTCTATAACAAGCTCTTTGTAGACATGGACTAGTGACAAGGGGATTCTACAGCAAGCTCTTGTAGACATGGACTAGTGACAAGGGGATTCTACAGCAAGCTCTTTGTAGACATGGACTAGTAACAAGGGGATTCTACAGCAAGCTCTTGTAGACATGGACTAGTGACAAGGGGATTCTACAGCAAGCTCTTTGTAGACATGGACTAGTGACAAGGGGATTCTACAGCAAGCTCTTGTAGACATGGACTAGTGACAAGGGGATTCTACAGCAAGCTCTTGTAGACATGGACTAGTGACAAGGGGGATTCTACAGCAGCTCTTTGTAGACATGGACTAGTGACAAGGGGATTCTATAGCAAGCTCTTTGTAGACATGGACTAGTGACAAGGGGATTCTACAGCAAGCTCTTGTAGACATGGACTAGTGACAAGAGGATTCTACAGCAAGCTCTTGTAGACATGGACTAGTGACAAGGGGATTCTACAGCAAGCTCTTGTAGACATGGACTAGTGACAAGGGGATTCTACAGCAAGCTCTTGTAGACATGGACTAGTGACAAGGAGATTCTACAGCAAGCTCTTGTAGACATGGACTAGTGACAAGGGGATTCTACAGCAAGCTCTTGTAGACATGGACTAGTGACAAGGGGATTCTACAGCAAGCTCTTTGTAGACATGGACTAGTGACAAGGGGATTCTATAACAAGCTCTTTGTAGACATGGACTAGTGACAAGGGGATTCTACAGCAAGCTCTTGTAGACATGGACTAGTGACAAGGGGATTCTACAGCAAGCTCTTGTAGACATGGACTAGTGACAAGGGGATTCTACAGCAAGCTCTTGTAGACATGGACTAGTGACAAGGGGATTCTACAGCAAGCTCTTGTAGACATGGACTAGTGACAAGGGGATTCTACAGCAAGCTCTTGTAGACATGGACTAGTGACAAGGGGATTCTATAACAAGCTCTTTGTAGACATGGACTAGTGACAAGGGGATTCTATAACAAGCTCTTTGTAGACATGGACTAGTGACAAGGGGATTCTACAGCAAGCTCTTGTAGACATGGACTAGTGACAAGGGGATTCTACAGCAAGCTCTTGTAGACATGGACTAGTGACAAGGGGATTCTATAACAAGCTCTTTGTAGACATGGACTAGTGACAAGGGGATTCTACAGCAAGCTCTTTGTAGACATGGACTAGTGACAAGGGGATTCTATAACAAGCTCTTTGTAGACATGGAACTAGTGACAAGGGGATTCTACAGCAAGCTCTGTAGACATGGACTAGTGACAAGGGATTCTACAGCAAGCTCTTGTAGACATGGACTAGTGACAAGGGGATTCTACAGCAAGCTCTTTGTAGACATGGACTAGTGACAAGGGGATTCTACAGCAAGCTCTTGTAGACATGGACTAGTGACAAGGGGATTCTACAGCAAGCTCTTGTAGACATGGACTAGTGACAAGAGGATTCTACAGCAAGCTCTTGTAGACATGGACTAGTGACAAGGGGATTCTATAACAAGCTCTTTATAGACATGGACTAGTAACAAGGGGATTCTACAGCAAGCTCTTGTAGACATGGACTAGTGACAAGGGGATTCTATAACAAGCTCTTTGTAGACATGGACTAGTGACAAGGGGATTCTACAGCAAGCTCTTTGTAGACATGGACTAGTGACAAGGGGATTCTATAACAAGCTCTTTGTAGACATGGACTAGTGACAAGGGGATTCTACAGCAAGCTCTTGTAGACATGGACTAGTGACAAGGGGATTCTACAGCAAGCTCTTGTAGACATGGACTAGTGACAAGGGGATTCTACAGCAAGCTCTTTGTAGACATGGACTAGTGACAAGGGGATTCTACAGCAAGCTCTTGTAGACATGGACTAGTGACAAGGGGATTCTACAGCAAGCTCTTGTAGACATGGACTAGTGACAAGGGGATTCTACAGCAAGCTCTTGTAGACATGGACTAGTGACAAGGGGATTCTATAACAAGCTCTTGTAGACATGGACTAGTGACAAGGGGATTCTATAGCAAGCTCTTTGTAGACATGGACTAGTGACAAGAGGATTCTACAGCAAGCTCTTGTAGACATGGACTAGTGACAAGGGGATTCTATAACAAGCTCTTTGTAGACATGGACTAGTGACAAGGGGATTCTATAACAAGCTCTTTGTAGACATGGACTAGTGACAAGGGGATTCTACAGCAAGCTCTTGTAGACATGGACTAGTGACAAGGGGATTCTATAACAAGCTCTTTGTAGACATGGACTAGTGACAAGGGGATTCTACAGCAAGCTCTTGTAGACATGGACTAGTGACAAGGGGATTCTACAGCAACTCTTTGTAGACATGGACTAGTAACAAGGGGATTCTACAGCAAGCTCTTTGTAGACATGGACTAGTGACAAGGGGATTCTATAGCAACTCTTTGTAGACATGGACTAGTAACAAGGGGATTCTACAGCAAGCTCTTTGTAGACATGGACTAGTGACAAGGGGATTCTACAGCAACTCTTTGTAGACATGGACTAGTAACAAGGGGATTCTACAGCAAGCTCTTGTAGACATGGACTAGTGACAAGGGGATTCTACAGCAAGCTCTTGTAGACATGGACTAGTGACAAGGGGATTCTATAGCAAGCTCTTTGTAGACATGGACTAGTGACAAGGGGATTCTACAGCAAGCTCTTGTAGACATGGACTAGCAACAAGGGGATTCTATAGCAAGCTCTTTGTAGACATGGACTAGTGACAAGGGGATTCTACAATTTGTATGAAAAAGCAAAGGACCTAAAATAGCCAAAACAATTCTGAAAAGAACAAATTTAGAGGATTCATAGTATGTGATTTCAAGGTTTATTATAAAACTATAGTAATCAAGATAGATAGTCTGGTATTGGCAGGACGGACACAGAGGGGTTTTTTTTAATCCTCACCCGAGGACATTTTTGCTTTTATCTTCAGATGGAAGACACAGATGGAGGGAGAGAGAAACATCGACTGGTTGCCACCTACACGACCCCCACCGGAGCTGGGGACAAACTGCAGCCGAGGTAGAGGTACGTGCCCTTAGCGGACCCGAACCCGGGTCTCTCTGGTGCCGGGGCTGACCCTTCAACCACTGAGCCAAACCGGCCAGGGCCAGTTTGACATTTTTAAAAGTTAAACATACGTAGTCTCACTCCAAGTACTTCTCCAAATGAATTGAAAACAAAACCTATGTGTGACTGTTCGTAGCAGCATTACTCACAGTTGCCCCCAGCTGGGAATGACCCAGATGCCTGCAACGCTGGAACGGATAATGGGGTACATTTATGCAATAGCAGACCGCTCGGCAATGAGAAGAAAAACGTCTGAGTCGCCCAGCAACAGGGATGGACCTTAAATGAATTTTGCTACGTGAAAGAAGCCAGACCCAAAAGGCTGTGTATTACATGCTTCCACTTGTGATTCTGGCAAAAGCAAAACTGGTATAGAAACAAAATGAGTGGTTGCCAGCGACGGGGCCTGGGAAAAGCGGTTGCTTTGGAGGGTCCCACGGAGGCAGTCCTAGGCGATGTGCCCTGGGGGCCCGTGAGTGTGCACTGGCACACCCACATAGCTGGGCACTGCAGAGGGGCTTAGCACCGTAAATAGCATGAGCCCAGCCAGCCCTGAGGTGTCCAGTGCGGGCTGAGCTGGGGTGAGTGAGTCTGACCCCAGTGGAAGGATCACAATCTCGCTGAAGGGGGTGGGTAAGAAAGGGACTGACCTACATCACTCTGCCTAAAGACCAAAAGAACCCCACAAATTGCTCAAGTTCATGGGAATATGGTTTAGCAATTCTGAAACTACAATCATGAGAACCAGGTTTGTCAGAATAAGTAAAAAATAAGCAAGCCCTGAATGTTAGAATGAGTTTTGTGTTGGGCTGGGGTCGGTTACAGGAAGAATTCGTGCTCATACTAACCAGTTAACACACGGCTGTGGGTGCCCAGAGTCCCAGCTGCGCCCACGCCCGTGGAGCTGTGCCGGACAGCGGGCGCGCCCAGCACCCAGAGCTGGGTTTCTGATGCTCGTTCTCCAGCGAAGGGAACCAGTGCTCCTTGGAGAAATGTTTGATTCCAGAACTGGGAAGGCCGAGTAAAAGATGAGGATTCATGGTCAGTGCCAGAAAGAGACACTGCTAGCCTGTCAGAGGACACAGCCATCCACGCTGATGCAAACTGATGGCTGAAGTAGGGACAAGCCCAGCAAGTGTAGGAGAAGTGAGGGAAATACAGAATGTCCTGTTAGAACCCCAGTAGCATCTGCTACCGACAGCATCCACCGGTGGACGCCAACAGGAGTGGAATGTTCCGGAGCAGCAGTGTGGAGCTAGCCTCCAACTAGCTGCCAAAGATGCACTGCTTAGGTGGCAGTTCTCACAGTTGCTCCCAGGTTTCTTGAAGCTCCTCCCTCCCAGCGGTGAAGCGTATTTGTAGAGCAGGCCTCCAAGAGGACCGGAGACCCAACAGCCTTCACAGAGAACGCGGCAAACACCGCCTTGAGCACGCGGGTGTGGGAAGTCGTGCCGCGTCCTTTAACCCACAGCATCAGTCTGAGCAGGGGACACCAAGGACGTGACCAATACCCTTCCAAAGTGTCAAGGTCATGAAAAAGAAGGAAGGACTGGAAACCTGTTGGCTGGAGGAGACATGTTGACTGAATGCAACTGAAAAAGGACATTTTTGGGAAAATGGAAATCTGAATTAGATCAGGACTGCAGTCTAGTCTAGTGAACTGCACCATCATCAGTGTTCTTTCTTAGTTCTGATAAATGTCCATGGTTCTGTAACGTCCTACAAGAATCATAGGGGAACTACAATCTTTGTGACGCCTGCCAAACAAAAATTATTTCAATAAAGTTACAGAAGGAAAAAAAAAGACTCAGGCAATGAACTCTGAAATTTAAATATGTGGACCCAGACATAACTGTAGTTCTTTGTAAGTTGGTGATTAAGCAGTCGCCATTAAATAATGAAGCAACCCCGGTATCAAACAAAGAGTTGGAACAGAAACTGAGCCAACCGTGGTGTGCAAGTTCCAAGATGTGCAAGAGGAAGTCACCTCCTTTGGGTCCATGTTGGCAGCTGTCAGAATATAGATTGTTTCTAACCACTATTGAGCTCTGAGCAAAGGTGGAATATCAACATTTCCTTAAAAAACTTCACATGAATGATTATGGCCTAGTGCTTGGCTTTAAAAATAAATAAAACCTTTCACCTGAGTATTACGAGCTCTGGGGGGCAGCTGGCGGCGTCTTGCCAGGCGTGTTCCCCCGGAACCAGAGCAAAGGCGAAGCGCCAAGCAGAGCCCGACCCCCAAGCCACAGGGGCGCGGTCAGAGCCGTCAGCAGCCCTCCTCCTGCCTCAGTCCACACGAGGCTGTTCTGACAACTCATTTTTAGGAAAGAACTGATCTTTTAAAATTACGTTGTTTTATTTCCACGATCATTTAAAACATTGTACTAAAGCAGCAATACAGTTTAGATAAAAATGTTTATTAAAGAGGACAACATATAGTAATATGTTTAAGGCACATGAAAAGGTTTGGCATTATATTGTAAGAAGAAAAATACAAATTATTCCAGCACGTTCGGAATCTATTTCATTTGCCCAGAGCGCGCCGTTTCTGCGCGGCTCCGCAGCCGGGAGGGCGCCTGGGGGCGCGCCTGCTGCCGGGTGTACTCCCAGACCAGCAGGGCGGCGCTCACGTGCACGTTCAGCGAGCGCGTGATGCCCTGCTGCGGGATTTCCACGCACACGTCCAGCTGCTGGATCAGGTTGGCTGGGATTCCTTCGCGCTCGTTTCTGGGGAAAGTGGAAGAAAGGTTACTTTTCCTGTAATAAGCAGTGTTTTTCTCAGATATTCTGAATATTCCTGGAAGAGACAGGTTAACAAAAGTAAGTCTTAGCTACCAGGAAAAGAAGGATAACAAAACAGTGCATGGGTCAGTTCTCCGTTCACCTGGCCTCCCAGACGGGAGCAGAGTGCGAGCCCAGGTGGAGGTTAGTAGCAGGGCCCAGCACTGATGTCGGGTGGCTGCCCCCCCCCCCCCCCGAAGGCGCTCACCCCAGCAGGAGCAGGGAGCTCTCCGGGAAGCGGTAGTGCGTCAGGGCCGCGCTCCGAGCCGTCTGCTCCGCGCCCACGACCGTGTAGCCTTCCGCCTTCTTCTGCTGCAGGAAGCCCGGCAGCTGGGAGGGTCTCACCTTAATATTCATGTTCAAAGAGCAGAACATTAAATCATTCAGTGACAGCCCTGCTTGAAGTAAAATCTGTTTTAAAAAAACTCTTATTAAACTAAGTTTGCTCAAAAGTCTTGAAAAAGGGAAGGACAGACTCATGCACGTGAACAAGAGCTCCCCCGAGGTCACAGACGTGTCAGTCATTCCGAAAGCGGCGCCGCACCCCGATCTCCGAAAGCAGGGCCTGGGGAGGCGGCGGGGGTGGGGGGGGTGGGGGGGGGCAGAAGGAACGCACTGATCCTCCCTCCCTGCACTCGCACGCGGAATGCAGCGCTACAGCTCTCAGCAAGTGAACCTCCAGCGATGAGTGCGTCCACCCACCTCCACTAGAGGAAGCCACTGCTCCGCGGAGACACTGAGGTGCTGGAACTGCTTGTCGCGGACGCACTGGAGGCTGCCGACCACCAGCAGCGCGGCCCCGAACACCTCGCAGGTGCGGCAGAGCCCTGCGGAGCAAGCGAGTCACGTGCGCCCTGCACCCGGGGGAAGGGGCCGTGGCCACATCCCGGGAAAGGGCCTCGGGCCTGGCCGCACCCCGTGGGAAACCGCGGGCGTGGCAGGGCACCCACTGAACACTTCCAGGATCAAAGGATTTTAAGCAGGCCCCCCGAGTACTGAGTGTTACCTCCTAAATTGGTGGGTTTATCGATGAGCGAGGCCACTACAATCAGTCGGCTGATGGACTTCCCAAGCTTGGCAGCACGATCCCGAAGCACCAGCTCCAGGTCTAAGTCGGGAACATAGTTCTTCCACGGGATGATCTTCTTCTGCACGTCGGTCCACTCGGGCTGCTGCTCTGCTTCCCCGGAGCAAGGGCCTGGGCGGAAAACGATCCCGTCTGTAGCCAGTCCCCTCGCCTACGCTGTGTAATATACTTTCATATATTTATAGATATTTATACATTACATAATCCCGTCTGTAGCCAGTCCCCTCGCCTACGCTGTGTAATATACTTTCATATATTTATAGATATTTATACATTACATAATCCCGTCTGTAGCCAGTCCCCTCGCCTACGCTGTGTAATATACTTTCATATATTTATAGATATTTATACATTACATAATCCCGTCTGTAGCCAGTCCCCTCGCCTACGCTGTGTAATATACTTTCATATATTTATAGATATTTATACATTACATAATCCCGTCTGTAGCCAGTCCCCTCGCCTACGCTGTGTAATATACTTTCATATATTTATAGATATTTATACATTACATAATCCCGTCTGTAGCCAGTCCCCTCTCCTACGCTGTGTAATATACTTTCATATATTTATAGATATTTATACATTACATAATCCCGTCTGTAGCCAGTCCCCTCGCCTACGCTGTGTAATATACTTTCATATATTTATAGATATTTATACATTACATAATCCCGTCTGTAGCCAGTCCCCTCTCCTACACTGTGTAATATACTTTCATATATTTATAGATATTTATACATTACATAATCCCGTCTGTAGCCAGTCCCCTCTCCTACACTGTGTAATATACTTTCATATATTTATAGATATTTATACATTACATAATCCCGTCTGTAGCCAGTCCCCTCTCCTACGCTGTGTAATATACTTTCATATATTTATAGATATTTATACATTACATAATCCCGTCTGTAGCCAGTCCCCTCTCCTACGCTGTGTAATATACTTTCATATATTTATAGATATTTATACATTACATAATCCCGTCTGTAGCCAGTCCCCTCTCCTACGCTGTGTAATATACTTTCATATATTTATAGATATTTATACATTACATAATCCCGTCTGCAGCCAGTCCCCTCTCCTACACTGTGTAATATACTTTCATATATTTATAGATATTTATACATTACATAATCCCGTCTGCAGCCAGTCCCCTCTCCTACACTGTGTAATATACTTTCATATATTTATATTTATATATATTTACACATTACATAATCCCGTCTGTAGCCAGTCCCCTCTCCTACGCTGTGTAATATACTTGCATATATTTATAGATATTTATACATTACATAATCCCGTCTGCAGCCAGTCCCCTCTCCTACACTGTGTAATATACTTTCATATATTTATATTTATATATATTTATACATTACATAATCCCGTCTGTAGCCAGTCCCCTCTCCTACACTGTGTAATATACTTTCATATATTTATAGATATTTATACATTACATAATCCCGTCTGTAGCCAGTCCCCTCTCCTACACTGTGTAATATACTTTCATATATTTATAGATATTTATACATTACATAATCCCGTCTGTAGCCAGTCCCCTCTCCTACACTGTGTAATATACTTGCATATATTTATAGATATTTATACATTACATAATCCCGTCTGCAGCCAGTCCCCTCTCCTACACTGTGTAATATACTTTCATATATTTATATTTATATATATTTACACATTACATAATCCCGTCTGTAGCCCAGTCCCCTCCCTCTCTCATACTCTGTAATATATTTTTATATATTTACATATATACTTTATATCATACATATATTTTAAGAGTTTAAAATGATAGTTTAGGATGAGATTCATTAACTAAAGAACTTGGATTCAGACACAATTGCCATTTTCATAATGATTTTTTAAGTTTTCAAATTCAAGTCTACTAACCATGAAAACATCGGACAGCCTTGGGCACACTTTCTTTACATTTTTATCATACCCAGATTTGGGAAGCATCTTAGATCCATACAGTGTCATAGTTTACTAGCATTTTTTCTTAGAGGTACATAAAATAATGGTGTATCCTACAAACAATGTATTAAACTAGAATTTTCTGAAGAACTATATTCCTGAAAATATACATAGTCTTTATTTTAAATTACTTTGCAAGTACCTAGGGGAACGTTTCTAAAGCAAAGCATATTTTCTTACCTAACCAATGGGTCCCAGCAGGTGACTAGCCTGTCCGACCACAGTGCTTGCCTAACCGCTGAGTCCCAGCAGGTGACTAGGCCCGTCCGACCACAGTGCTTGTCTAACCGCTGAGTCCCAGCAGGTGACTAGGCCCGTCCGACCACAGTGCTTGTCTAACCGCTGAGTCCCAGCAGGTGACTAGGCCCGTCCGACCACAGTGCTTGCCTAACCGCTGAGTCCAAGCAGGTGACTGGCCCGTCCGACCAGTGCCTTGATCTCAGCACTGGACTGAGGTGAGCGTCAGGCCCTTCCTGGAACCTGTCCTACTGCAAACTGTTGACAGAGCAACCAGGGAGCAGGTACTTCCTGGGGATGGAAGGACGCTCTGAGAACAACACCACAGCACTGCAGAGGGGGCGTGTTCCCCCAGACGGGTTGTTCACACCCGGAAGAGGGGGCAGAGGAAGGCCCACCCAGGCTCGGGGAGCACAGCGTGGGGAATGCCCCGCCCCAGCTGCACTGGGTTTGCTCACAGCCTGGAGGAGGGAGGTGGCTCCGCCAGATCACAAGGACTTTGCATATATGATAAAGAATTAATTCCACAGACAGGAGCCATTCAAGGGCTTGGAGAGGGGAATAACAGATGTGGTTTTGAGTTTTAGAAAAATCCCTCTTAAAAGCTGGGACTGGAAAACCATTCAGGACTTTACACTAGTCCAGGCGAAGACAGGGACAGCCCAAATGAAGTCACTGCAAGAGGGGCCACAGGAACAGCAGCCAGAAGGGAAGCAGACTCGCCAGAGGCAATGGGAAGGGACAGCATGCAGTGCCGGTGACTCCGGATGGAAGGGCACAGAGGAGGCCGGGGAGGGACAGCGTGCAGTGCCGGTGACTCTGGACGGAAGGGCACAGAGGAGGCCAGGGAGGGACAGCGTGCAGTGCCGGTGACTCCGGACGGAAGGGCACAGAGGAGGCCGGGGAGGGACAGTGTGCAGTGCCGGTGACTCCGGATGGAAGGGCACAGAGGAGGCCGGGGAGGGACAGCGTGCAGTGCCGGTGACTCTGGACGGAAGGGCACAGAGGAGGCCGGGGAGGGACAGCGTGCAGTGCTGGTGACTCTGGATGGAAGGGCACAGAGGAGCTGGTGTGACAAGGCAAATCCACCTGGACGTGTTGAGTTTAAAGAGCTGATGGAGTGCCCAGCAGGCCCAGGAAAGAGGCCGGGCAGAGCCAGATGTGGTTTTGGTGAGGTTACAGGCTAGGGCGCACCAGCACCAGTTGTGACCTAGTGACAATGCAGACCTCGGCAGCATGCTGAGGGTTGGCCGTGAATCAAGCTGGGTGTGGAGCGTGGGCCTTGGGTTTCAGGGAAGGAGGGCCGCAGGGCAGGGGGGAGCCATGGAAGCTTGAGGAAGAAGGTGACAGGAGACGGGACATCCAACCAGACCGAGGAGGGTCGGCTCCATTCTTAAATGGGACAAGAAATTTCATAATGTGGCCCTTTCTAAAGTCTGTATTTTATAGAAATATATAGTGGAGAAGCAATGAATGTTAATGAACAGTATTTCAAAGAAGAGAGAAGCCAGCAGCTTACGTGACGAGCGGGCCAGGCGTCTGCGGCTCGCGCAGCGCCGCTCCCGGCCAGCCGCAGGCCTTGTCCAGGGCACACCGCGTCTCCACGCCGGCTTCTCTCCACGTGGGGAGCAGAGCTCACACATCAACAAAAAAGTGCTTTTTTCAGCCCCTGTTCTAAGTAACTCACGTCAATAAGCCTGAGCAAGTCAGCAGTGGGGAAAATAAAACAAAAACCCTCTTCACCTCCGTCCTGCTGGGCCCAGGCCTCTGGCTGCAGTTCACGAAGCCGGGTTGGGGACAGGCAGCGCTGAGGGCCGGCTCCCGAGGGGATGTCCGTGAACCTGGAGAACTTCTCCATGGTGATCCATTCGTCCTCAACGAGGCCAGAAAGGCGTGGAAGGATGTAAAATATGGTCTGAAAAGAAAATTGTAAAATCTAAATTTTCTCTTAAAAATAACCAAAAAATATGTAACTGTTTAAAGTACAAGTTATTACTACTGTATTTCCCGAAACTACCGTATCTGATCAAATTACATAATGTCTATCTTGTAGCAACTGTCTGTACACACGCATCGGGTTTCCTAAGGAACCCGGCGTGTGACTCGGGAACCCCTCGCGCATCGTGTCTCCTAAGGAACCCCGCGCGTGACTCGGGAACCCCCCCTCGCGCATCCTGTTTCCTAAGGAACCCGGCGCGTGACTCGGGAACCCCCCCTCGCGCATCCTGTTTCCTAAGGAACCCGGCGCGTGACTCGGGAACCCCCCCTCGCGCATCCTGTTTCCTAAGGAACCCAGCGTGTGACTCGGGAACCCCCCCTCGCGCATCCTGTTTCCTAAGGAACCCCGCGCGAGACTCAGGAACCCCCCCTCGCGCATCCTGTTTCCTAAGGAACCCCGCGCGTGACTCGGGAACCCCCCCTCGCGCATCCTGTTTCCTAAGGAACCTGGCGGGTGACTCGGGAACCCCTCGCGCAGGCTGAGCTCCCACGCGGGTGTCCCCAGGGGCAGGGCACCAGCCGCCCTCCCCTAGCAGAGCCGGGCTCAGTGCTGACGCCGGCAGCGTCGGGAGCAGTGCTGCCCACTGATCACCAGCACTGCCACTGGGCAGCCAGTCAGCCTTCCTGGCTCCAGCGTCCTCACTTGTGACGTGTGGACAGGGTGAGGTTAAACAGCATGAAAAGAAGCGTCTTATACACTGCACACTGTGAACAGTACTATTTGGGCACCACATGAACAGTCCTTTCTTTCTCTTACCTGTGAGAACCGAGGACCAGAAAATCACCAAGGTCAAAGGCACACAAGCAGCGGCAGCAGAGCAACAGGAGATTTAAAAGCAACTGAAGGAAGAACGTGCAGGCTCCACCCCCGCTCTGACCACTGGTTTTCTTCACCCACCATTTGTGCCAATGGAAACCAGCGTCATGACTGCAACGAGTTCTCTAAGGAGGTACTCATGTAGCTACACGTGTAAGGAGACAGCTCTGTGCACCATCAGTGTATCTGCACATACAGTTACGGTTCTTCACACCGTGAACAGAGGGGGTGCCGAGAACGCGGGCGCGAGGCCGTCCAAGGCAGGGAGGAGGAAAGGAAGGTCTTACTCCTGCTGGAAACTGACAGGAAGGTGGACCTAGCACAGAGGGAGTGAAGACTCCTTCAGAAAGATGCCAGTCTTCTGGGCACCAAGGACACAGCACAGAGCATGTTAAAATAGTTGGAAAATCCGAAACAACGTTTGCAATGAAGCAGCAGAAAGTACACATTAGCGCTCCACGGTGACATCTCACAACACAGAGCTGTTTGCTTAGAGGCCAGCTTCCCGGTGATCCACCAAAACCACTCCCTTGCGCCAGCAGCTCAGGTTAGATACTCCAGGTTCTTCAGGGGAAAAGAACCAGGTCAAGTGTTTCCATTCAAAGGGAGGAAGTGATACAATGTCTATAAATTTTAGTAGCTTAGATATCAAGTTCACTGATTTACACACCAGTTGTAATAAACATGTTTACGGTTCTTAAAATTACATCAGCGCACAGCGGGGGGCACCGGTGCTATCACTCTCAGGCCCAGACCCAGAAAAGGCCATTAACAAGAGTAGATCTCGGTCTGCAGTCATGATGGGCTTCATCACCACACAATCTCACCTGCACGAATGACCTCACTCATTTCCTTTTAATGTCACAACAGATTTCTGTTCAGAGTTAAATATTCCCCCTTCCAGTGTTTACAAGCCCGACTGCCTGAGAAAGAGTGGAGATCCAGTTTTCACTGCTGAAGAGTGAAGTGCAAGTCGTCTGCATAAAGGGGCGGAATCCAGCTCAGTGCTTCACCGCGCTGGGAGGAGCTGGCTCCGCAGACCGGCCACGGCCACGGCCACGGCCACGGCCACGGGCGCGTCAGGGCTGCCAACAGGAGAGCTGCGTGGACCTTCTCTGCTCACCTCCAGACAGTGGTCCTCAAGTGGGTGAAATGCCGCAAAGAAGAAGTGGTCTCGGATGCGCTGCCAGCTCTTCTGGGCATTCCTGAGGGGTGACAATGGGGTGAAGGGGACACGGTGAGGGAAACTGGCTCCTCTCAGAGGGGCTGCAGGACTTAGAAAGAATGGAAAACTCTGTGAATTTTACCCTAAGATTTATACACCTGTACCTCCAAGATCAACATACTTTAAAGACTGACACTACATTTCACCTTTTGAAATGAAATACAAAACAGACTAACTGAATAACTCTCAAAGTCCTACAACAAAGAAGGATTCACAAGAATGGAACCCAGGTCTGTACTTATGGAGCTTAGGGGTCAGTCTGGGTGGTGTGCGGGGCCTGCGCTCCATCCAACAGCAGGGCAGCTGACCGGGTGGAGCTTAGGGGTCAGTCTGGGTGGTGTGCGGGGCCTGCGCTCCATCCAACAGCAGGGCAGCTGACCGGGTGGGAGCTTAGGGGTCAGTCTGGGTGGTGTGCGGGGCCTGCGCTCCATCCAACAGCAGGGCAGCTGACCGGGTGGAGCTTAGGGGTCAGTCTGGGTGGTGTGCGGGGCCTGCGCTCCATCCAACAGCAGGGCAGCTGACCGGGTGGAGCTGAGGGGTCAGTCTGGGTGGTGTGCGGGGCCTGCGCTCCATCCAACAGCAGGGCAGCTGACCGGGTGGAGCTGAGGGGTCAGTCTGGGTGGTGTGCGGGGCCTGCGCTCCATCCAACAGCAGGGCAGCTGACCGGGTGGAGCTGAGGGGTCAGTCTGGGTGGTGTGTGGGGCCTGCGCTCCATCCAACAGCAGGGCAACTGACCGGGTGGAGCTGAGGGGTCAGTCTGGGTGGTGTGCGGGGCCTGCGCTCCATCCAACAGCAGGACAGCTGACCGGGTGGGAGCTAGGGGTCAGTCTGGGTGGTGTGCGGGGCCTGCGCTCCATCCAACAGCAGGGCAGCTGACCGGGTGGGAGCTAGGGGTCAGTCTGGGTGGTGTGCGGGGCCTGCGCTCCATCCAACAGCAGGACAGCTGACCGGGTGGAGCTGAGGGGTCAGTCTGGGTGGTGTGTGGGGCCTGCGCTCCATCCAACAGCAGGGCAGCTGACCGGGTGGGAGCAGCACCAGAGGAACAGCCCGCCAGACAGAAGTTAAATGCTTGGGAGGAGGAACTCCACAGACACCTTGTAGGCGGAGAAGACCCTTGCCCGGGCTCGCTCTCTCCTTTGGGGGCTACGACAGAGCCAAACTTTCGCCCACGTGATGGTCAGGGCAGGACTCACTGATGTGCTCCCGGTTTTCCACACGCTACTTCATGTGCCTGAAAAGCCGCTCCAAACTCCTACCACTGGCTCGCGTGGACGGGTGAGCGCCTTTGAGCACGTGAAGGAGGACCGCTCTGTGGACTCAGAGGGCCTGGGGCTCTGCAGTGTGCAAGCCTGGCCTTCCGGACCGTGAGTGGCAGTGACCACAGGGATGCAGCACCTCGAGCCGAGGCAGGAGCGTCTGGTGAGGCCCCTGCAGGGGCTGTAGGAGAGGCCGGGGCAGGTGCCCTCGCCTCCACCCACAGCAGCAGCGCTTGAGAAGGTCAAGTGAACCAACACCCAAGCCCTTAGTGCACATCACACCGTGGGCCACGCCAGCTCTGCCTGTCTGGGCTCTGCGCTCCCTGTGACTTCAGAGGGGTCCCCTTCTCCAAGCCGCCTCTGTGCCACTGAAGTGCTGCCGGGTACAGTCCTCACCCTGCTCCGTGCGCACTTTCCACTTGATTAAGGCTGGATTCGATCACAGACGTCAGGGCGTCCAGTCCTTCCACTTGCAACGTCCCACACATGCTCCAGATTTTCCTCAGAGCGACCAGCGCGTACAGCCGGACACTGAAATTGTGGCTGAGGGCCCACCGCAGCACGAGGTCCAGGGCTTGCTTCAGAATGAGCTTCTGAAAAGGAAGAATCACTCAGACGGGCCACCTGACCCTGGATTGGGTAACCGAGAACAAGGTACACCTACACTACTGCGTGCCCACTAGCAGGGCTCCCCAACTTCTCCGGAGACAGGACGTGCTGGCATTGAATTCCGAAACAGAAAAGCACCCTCCCAGAGCTTTGTGTCCACTCGTGACGCCGCAGCGCCCCCCACTGCGGCACCTGCGTCCACTCGTGACGCCGCAGCGCCCCCCACTGCGGCACCTGCGTCCACTCGTGACGCCGCAGTGCCCCCCACTGCGGCACCTGTGCAAGTCAAAGTACTTTCATGCCAACCACTGTACAACCACAATGTTAAAACCATGGCCCCATCCCCTGCTACCTCGCCTTGGGCTGAAAAAGAGAAACACTGAGCCCTGGCCGGTTTGGCTCAGCGGTTAGAGCATCAGGCTGCGGTCCAGAGAGACCCGGGTTCGGTTCCCGCTAAGGGCATGTACCTCCGTTGCAGTTTGTCCCCAGCCCTGGTCGGTTGTGCAGGGGCAGCCACTCGATGTGTCCCTTCACGTCAATGTTTCTCTCTCTCTCTCTCCCTCCTACTCTATCTGAACAAAATGTCCTCAGGTGAGGCCCTGGCCGGTTTGGCTCAGTGGTTGGAGCGTCGGCCTGCGGTTCAGAGAGACCCGGGTTCGGTTCCCGCTAAGGGCACGTACCTCGGTTGCAGTTTGTCCCCGGCCCTGGTTGGTCGTGCGGGTGGCAGCTACTCGATGTGTCCCTTCACGTCGATGTTTCTCTCTCTCTCTTCCTCTCTCTTCCTCCCGCTCTATCTGAACAAAAAATGGAAAAATGTCCTCGGGTGAGGATAAAAAAAAAAAAAATGTCCTCAGGTGAGGATTAACAAAAAGAGAGAGAGAGAAACCCTAAGCCCCCTGTGACCTGGAAGCACGGCCACTGCCGGGTGTCGGTGAGGGCGGCTTCCCTCCTGGGGCTGGGTTCTGAACTACCCACTTACCTGTGTTCCCCACAGAGCGCGAGGGGGGCAGGAAAATTAAGTGACGAGAAAAGTTTAAGCTTCCCTTAGTCCTTTGAAAACTCCCAGCCCAGAGAGTGTGTCAGCCATAGCCCCTGATGTTTACAGTGACACCGTGTCGCTGGGGACTCGGATGGACTCCGACCCCCTCCATGTTCCTACTTAGTGGTCACCTGTCAGTGTCACTGGCTGCACCCCAGTAATGACTGACAGTTTCTACTGATGAAAACAATCACGTCCACAGGAGTTCCCAGTACTTCAGCATGGTGGACAGCTCCCTGCAACACCCCAGTGTTCCCTGAGGACACAATACAGATACAAATCATCCTCCTTATTACATCCCTTTATTCAACATTCATCAATATTGACCAAAGGTCAGTGTACTGCAGTACGCTGGGACCACCCCTGGGACACACACACACCACACACACTCGTAACACACACCACACACACTCGTAACACATAACACACACACCACACACTCGTAACACACACCACACACATGTAACACACCACACACACTCGTAACACACACACCACACACACTCGTAACACACACACCACACACACTCGTAACACACACCACACACTCGTAACACACACCACACTCTCATAACACACACACCACACACACTCGTAACACACACCACACACTCGTAACACACACACCACACACACTCGTAACACACACACCACACACTCGTAACACACACCACACACTCTCGTAACACACATATCACACACACATCACACACACACCACACACTCATAACACACACCCCACACACTCGTAACACACACACACCACACACTCGTAACACACACACATCACACACACATAACACACACACCACACACTCGTAACACACACACATCACACACACATAACACACACACCCCACACATTCGTAACACACACACCACACACACACACATAACACACCACACACACACATAACACACACCCGTAACACACACACATAATACACAAATACCACACACACACCCATAACACCCACACAAATACAAACACCACACACCCACCACACACACACCCATAACACACACCACCATTTGTGATGAGCTCACACAGGCGCTGCCTGTAGCTGAGCAGGGCCAGGGAGAGTGGCCAGGCAGGGCCCAGCTAAGATGGCCACAGGGGCAGAGAGGAGGAAACGCATCTACTTGGCTACAAGGGAGACCAGAGAGAAACACCTGAAGCGGCCACTTGCCGTGGCCCATGGCCACGTCTCCATTCTGATCCAGGAAGAGGGAAGCAGGGGGGCCGACCTGCTGACACTCTCCCCACCACCAGCCGGAGGCAGGGGCCTTCCTTTCGCTCACTGCAGAACCTGGGGCCGAGAACGTCACAGGAAGACACAGAATAGCACAGGACAGACATTCACGGGAGGCGGAGGGGGGCGATGGTGAATCGAGCGGCTTCTTCAGGGCGCCCTGCCCCGTGGGCTTGTGGCCAGCGGGTCGCACTGCGCAGCCCACCTGCACGGTCTCTGCTGACCCCCCCAGACTCGAGCCCTCTGCCGGTTCTCCCTGCTCTCTCCGTCTTCTCCCGTGAGGGATTCTGCTTCCTCCCCAGGCCACCTCACCGCTCTCCTCCCTCCTCGCCCTCGGGGTGCTCTTCCACACGCACGCGGCCCCCAGCTGCATTCCCACCCTCCCAGTCCTGGACGTGTGACTCCAGACAGTTCCTTCTCCGGCATCATGTCAAAACCATGACCCACCATTCTGTGCCGAAGCCATAGCCCAGTCTTTGTTGGGAAACTTGTGACTGTTCTTTTCTGTAAAATCTCTGACCCAGAGCATCCCTCTCACCCCCTCGTCCCAGCCCCTCCCCATCACTGTCACCGCATGGGATTCACGCCCTCTGACCCAGAGCATCCCTCCCAGCCCCTCCCCATCACTGTCACTGCAGTGGGATTCGCGCCCTCTGACCCAGAGCATCCCTCCCAGCCCCTCCCCATCACTGTCACTGCAGTGGGATTCTCGCCCTCTGACCCAGAGCATCCCTCCCAGCCCCTCCCCATCACTGTCACTGCAGTGGGATTCACGCCCTCTGACCCAGAGCATCCCTCCCAGCCCCTCCCCATCACTGTCACTGCAGTGGGATTCGCGCCCTCTGACCCAGAGCATCCCTCCCAGCCCCTCCCCATCACTGTCACTGCAGTGGGATTCACGCCCTCTGACCCAGAGCATCCCTCCCAGCCCCTCCCCATCACTGTCACTGCAGTGGGATTCGCGCCCTCTGACCCAGAGCATCCCTCCCAGCCCCTCCCCATCACTGTCACTGCAGTGGGATTCGCGCCCTCTGACCCAGAGCATCCCTCCCAGCCCCTCCCCATCACTGTCACCGCAGTGGGATTCACGCCCTCTGACCCAGAGCATCCCTCCCAGCCCCTCCCCATCACTGTCACCGCAGTGGGATTCGCGCCCTCTGACCCAGAGCACCCCTCCCAGCCCCTCCCCATCACTGTCACTGCAGTGGGATTCGCGCCCTCTGACCCAGAGCATCCCTCCCAGCCCCTCCCCATCACTGTCACTGCAGTGGGATTCGGCCCTCTGACCCAGAGCATCCCTCCCAGCCCCTCCCCATCACTGTCACTGCAGTGGGATTCGCGCCCTCTGACCCAGAGCATCCCTCCCAGCCCCTCCCCATCACTGTCACTGCAGTGGGATTCGCGCAGTCACAACCTCGTGCCCTGAGCACTGTGGACTGAGTCCCATCTTCTGACCTCCCAGGGCACTCCTCTCCTGTCCTTCACACCTGGTGCCTCCGGTGGCTGCCCGCGGCCCTTCTCCGGGGGAGTGCATGCTCCCTGCCAGAGCCCTCCCGCGTCCCCGGGGCTGCCGTCCAGGCAGGGTGTACGGATTCCCACTGCAGGCTCAGCTCCTTTTCCTCTTCAGCTGAAACTGCTAGCGAGCTCGCTGGAAGCCACGACGCAGCGTCAGTGCCCCGCAGGCCATCCAGTGTCCCTGATGGTGACGCCGACAGATCCCCGCACAGGATCGCGCCAGGACATCACGCAGCGCCCGGTACCCCACCACCTGCTTCACGTGTGTGCGTGGGGCGGTCTGCGGCAGGTTCACATACGCATCGCGTGTGAGCCCATGTGCCTCCATCCCTGTCAGGACCCAACGGGTTCCCACGCCCGAAAGTCCGTCCTGTGCCCTTTACGCCACCCACCTCCGCCCGACAGCTGCTTTAGAAATTATTGGAATTTAATTTTTTTGAAACATGTATAAATTTTAATCTGCCAGAGTTTAGTGGCAGAAACGGGCCTTCGCCACAGAACCACGGAAGCACGAGAGGAAAGGCTCCGGCTCCCGGCTGGCCACGGGGCAGCCACGACCAGGCTGCGGCCGCCCCCACATCGACAACCTGCACAGCCCACACCAGGCTGCGTGCCTGTCCTTCACACCCACAGCCAGGGCACCGGGACGCCAGCCAACACCGCCTCGGTGAGCCCAGCACCCGTGACCGCCCGCCAGGGAGGCTGAGGTCCACGGCCCAACGCCTCTAGGACGCCCGGCTTTGAGAACGTCTCTCCCGCAGAGACTCGGGTTTCCGGCAGGCAGCCCTCGGCCCTCCACCGCCTCTGCTCTAACAGGCAGCACCCTACCCCATGCCTGGCCCCTGGGGTATCTGAGTGGCGACCCTAGAATGATGGAGACCCCTGTGTGCTGCTTCCCCGTCAGGCCTTCCCAAGCCCACCCAGGGCCATTCTCCCTCCCAGCTGCATGTGCACACGTCCCCGCTGACAGACCCACAGCCTGGGCTGACTGTCCCCACTCATCCATACCCCCCTGCTCCTCTCCTATGCTCCCCAATTCTGTGACTGGGCCCCCCAAACCTGGTGGCCCCAGTCGTTTGCGTTTCTCCTCTGTCCATCTAACCACCCCCCGCCCCCCCGCTCTGGTGCTTCTCTTGACCACGTCCCTGGCACATCTGCGAGCCTGCTGCCTAGGGCA